CTGCTGTGTTCATCCAGCTCTGCACCTTGTTATCTCATATTTCCATATCAGGATGGTTTGGAGGAGAACTTGCAGATGGTGGTGTACCTATGTATCTGATGACCTTGTCCTTCTAGATGGTAGGGGTTGCAGGTTTGGAATGTGTTGTTGAGGAACTTTGGATGAGTTGCTGCAGTGCATGGGCTGATTTAAAGAAAAAAACCTTCCACGCAATCTGGGTAATTGGGCGTCATAAGTTTGTATATTTACTTAACAAACGTCCAACACCCCTCCGTGTTCTAGAGAGTACAACAGCCATGATGATCAACACACACTATTTTTCTTCTCACTATTGTAACAACAAATAGGAGTGTTAAAGTTTGAACGTGTAATGTGTGCAACTACAGCTATTGAGTCACACAACACCACGTTATAGTCCAACAGATTCATTTGAAATACCTTTCAGCTGACGAAGGAGCAGCGCTCCAAAAGCTTGGGATTTCAAATAACCCTGTTGGACTATCACCTAGTGTCTTTTGACTTCTGACCTTGTCCACCCCAGTCCAACACCTGCACCTCCACATCATTACAATTATTGATATCAGATGACACACTATATGGACGTCTTTTACTCTTTATTCATCAGAAATTCAAATAGCCACATTTGAATTCTCAATTTCTACATGTGGAGGACAACAAACATATCGATGCACCAATCTATATTGATTTGGCCCGTTATCCACTGGGAAATATTGAAAATAGGTCGAGTGGAATTGTAAATGCATATTTTATTTTGCCATTTATATGTTGAGGCAGGATTTGCAGTTTAATGGAGACATTTTCACCTATCTCAACTTGCTGTAGTTCTCAGTAATGAAAAAGTGCCATGAACAGGATAACTATGCTGTACTGAGCCACACAGATGAGGAACTGATACAACAGTTGACCCAAAAACTGCAATCTCCATTAATATTGCATGTAAATTTCAACAGAAACAGGCTATTTTGCCCATCTATCCATGCAAGAGTTTAATCTGCTCATGAGCTGTTCCCACTTGGACCCATAATCCTCCATTCCCTGAATCCCTAATGGATGCAAAATATTGCTTTTAACACTATCGAAGCAGTTCAGTGTAGATTTACTCGACTATTACTCAGAATGAGAGAATTCTCTGATGAGGAAGGGTCAGACAGGGTAGTTCTGTATCCACTGGAGTTTAGAAGATGCAACTTAATTGAAATATCAGAGATCGTGAGGGGTCTTCATAGGGTGGGTGTGGAAAGGATATTTCCTCTTCTGAGAGAATCTAGAACTAGCGATCATTGTTGAAAAATCCGGCATTGTCCCTTTAAAACAGAAATAAGGTCAACAGTTTTCCCTCAAAGGGTCTCTGTGAAAGAGTGCTGGAAACAGAGTCCGAATATTCTTAAGGCAGAGGTAGATAGATTCTTCTTAAGCAGAGGGGCTGTAAGGTTATCAGGGCTAGGCTGGAATGAGGATTTGAAGTTGCAATCAGATCAGCCATGAGCAGACTCAAGGAGCCGAATAGATTGCTCATCCTCCTTGTTCAGTTGTTTGTTCATAATCTCAAAGTACTTCATGTGGAAAATGGAAAAGGTGCCACGAAACTAAAGATTGGGAATAAATAACAAAATGCTTGTTGAAGAAATGCGGGGTTTTGAGATGTTCCTAAAGGCAGAAGGAAGAGGTGAAGGAATTTTGAAGAGTCAGACCTAAGCAGTTGAAGATTCTTCAACCAATGTGAGAAAGAACTATTGGAGTCAAGGGGAACAAATTAGAGTCATAGAGATGTACAGCACGGAACCAGACTCTTTGGTCCAACTCGACTATGCCAACCAGATATCCTAAGTTAATCTAGTCCCATTTGCTGGCATTTGGCCTATGTCCCTCTAAACGCTTTCTATTCATATACCAATCCAGATGCCTTTTAAATGTTGTAACTGTACCAGCCTCCACCATTTCCTCTGGCAGCTCATTCCATACACGCACCACCCTATGTGTGAAAAGTTACCCCTCTGGTTCCTGTTAAATCTTAAACCTATGCCCTCGAGTTTTGGACTCCTCTACCCTGAGAAAAAGACCTTAGCTAT